GAGGGACACACTTTCCACCCCTTCCTTGGGGTCTATGTGGCAGCAGTCTTGAACAGGAAGGGCCTTTCACTGCAACAGGGGTAACACCCCACACCCCATAGTCTACCCCCACTTGGATGCACTTTTCAGAGGGCTGGGCCTTTTTAACTGCAGACGGATGGTGGATACTTGGCCTGGAGAGCCCAGCATGGTGGAGGTTGCCTGTTGCTGCTACCATATCCAACCCAGGAACACTTCTGCTTTCTGAGATGTTGATGAGTTTTAGAAGTCAAACCCACAGTCAGGACTATTGCCAACTAATCCCTAGAAAGCTACTGATCTTGATGCCACACTGCCTCTGAGAGACGTGGGGAACTTGTGTCTCCCTAGGTACGAGTGGACTGACCACTGCAAACAGCCTGCCCCAGCACACCACAGCAAATCTGCCATGGAAAGCCAGACCTTCCTTAAGGCTACCCTAGCAAGACATTGGCCTTGCGCTGTGCTCAGCACGAAGGCCAGAATGCGGGTCAGGGCTTCTGCTCCTTCCTGCCTCCCTTCTCCCACCTGCCTCATGCATGGTGTTTCAGCACGTCAATTCTGATTGACAGGAGGGCTGCACCCTCCTCCTGCCCCCATGGCTCTCTCCACTCTGCTCAGTTTTTTTGCTTAAATATCATGCCTATTGAACCATTCTCTTTAAGGTAGTAGCCCAGGCCCACTTCATTCCCTTATCTGCCTGCTTCTCTCAGCATTTATTCTCCAGTAGGTCATGCCCTGAGCCTTTTTCACACTGCATCCTCCTTGCCAGTGCCCCAGTAGCACAGGGAAAGCATTCAAAGTGTTCATGGGGAGAATGATTGACTCAACTGTAACTCTCCTTTTTATTTACACATCAAATTGTGTATATTTATCATGCACAGTATATTGTTTTGAAGTGACCAAATAAAGCTAATTAACACATACATTTCTTTACATTCTTATCGAGTCACTGTTACTTCCCCTTTTGCATGCATATCTGTGTGGTGTGTTGTATGTGTGTTTGCATGTGTGGATGCAAGGGTTCGTGTGAAAATAGACCCAATAGGCTCATATATTTGAATACTTGGTCCCCAGTTGGAGGAACTGTTTGGGAAGGATTAGGAGGATTTGTTGGAGGAGATGTGCTACTGGGGGGCAGGCTTTGAGGTTTCAAAAGCTCACACCATTCCCAGTTAGCTCTCTTTGCCTTGTGTTTGTGGATAAGATGTAAGCCTCTGCTACTGCTCCAGTGCCATGCCTGCCTGCCTGCTGCCATGCTCTCTACCATGACGGTCACAGGCTCCAACCCTCTGGAATTTTAAGCCCCAAATAAACCCTTTCTTCTATAAATTGCCTTGGTCATAGCAATGTACACCAAAGTATGGGTGTGTACACATATGTGTACATGTTCACGTGGAGACCTGAAGTGGACATTGTTCTCTTCCTCGATTGCTTTTCACCGTATTTATTGAGGCAAGGCCTTTCACTGAACCTGTGGAACTCACCAAATTCAGTCTAGTTAACCAGCTTGCCCTGGGGGGCCCTTGTCACTGCTTCCTGAGTGGCTGGGGTTATAGGCAGCTATCACAATTATCCAGTTTTAGCCATTATGACTATTCATCTATGACCTGATGCAAAGCCTCCAGACAATGACCTTCCTCTCCTGAAGGCTTTTCTCTCCTGTCCCATGTGCCTCAGCAGCCTGCCCTCCAAGACATGACCTGAGCCCCTTGAAGCCCTCATTTCAGGAAAAGCAGGCATGTCTGCATCCTCACCAAGCACTTCACCTCCTCCCCTGAACTGAACCCTGGTCACCACTCAAGTACACTGTTTATGCAAAGCTTGCCTCAGTTTTCAGGACTCCTCCCATGCCCTCTGTAGGAAGAGAGGCCCACCCTCCTCTTGATTTTGTTTCACCCTTTTAAATAAAGCAAAATAACAGGGAAGCTAACCCAGAAAGTGGGTCCTCATCAGATATCACATCCGCTAGCTCCTTGATCTTAGACCTCAAGCCTCTGAACTGAGAAATCATCTTCCATAGTCTGTAAACTACCGATGTACAAGGTGTTGTTGCACAGTCCGTACACACTGGGCACCACCATAACCACTGATGAGAATTAACTGTACCGGTCAGATTTGGTGTCCTCTGCTGGCGTTGTTGCCGACAGATGTTTGCTGCTCTGCCTGCAATGGTGTTTAGAGAAGAGGAGGCCCATGGCGTTGCTGCTCACATGGTTTTCTGCCTACAGGCCTGGATGCTCTGTGTTTGTGTTAATAAAAGTTTTGGCACTGCAAGGCTTTAAAGAATTTATGAGTAAGGGAATTCTCTCCGGGTGCACTTTCAGCCATCCACCCCCGGTGCAATTGGCGATCTCGGACTTAAAGAGACAGCCCCGATAGCCCGTCATGGCAGGTCAGGTTAGTGCTGGTTCTTTCGGCATAGCGAAACATGTAGCAGGTGCTTTCTAACCAGAAAGTCCCTCCGTGTGCCCATCTCTCATTCTTCATAGAACATGAGCGTGTGTGCTTAGTCAAGACCACTACAGGAGTTAACTGGAGAGAGTGCAAAGATGAACACACGTGTGTGAGAGGAAAACAAAGTTGTTCTCTGTCAAACGGTAGTTATTTTGAGAATTGTAGGAAATGACTGTAACTAACTAGAGAAAAACAAAACAGAAATCTCTACAATGGCTGATGCAAACTCACTTTCGTTTGCTAGTGCCGAGGGTTGACACTACGGCCTCACACATTCTGAGCAGATCTACCACAAGCCATACTACCAGCTTCGAATTTTATTTCGAAGAACTCCCCAGATAGCTGTTGAAGCTGCTGTTTCTTTTCAGGTGTTCATTTTCCAAAGCTACTATTTACTGAATCATCTTTGCAGTCCTCGTGTCTGAGTAAGTCCAATGGGCTATTGCAGCTAGGCAAATAGAAAACCAGGAGCGTATATGAGCAGGACACAGGAGATGACGTTAAAGTTGGATCGGGATTGCTTGATCACCCACTGGTTGATCCCCTGCTGTGTGTGGATGGCAGGGTGGACACTGGCTATGAAGTTCATCTGCTGCAGACCACCTCTCCATCTCCACTGTGCTTGGACCATGGTTTGTCTTCTCTGACATGTTGACGTTTAATCTTCACCACAAGCAGTGGTTCTTTAAGAGGCAATTAGAGCTCTTCACTGACGGGAGGGGGGGGGGACGGGACACGGACCTCACTCATTCATCCAGTCAGTGATTAGGGGGTTCTTGGGTTGTCTCCCAGTGGATCTGTAGAACACAAGTGGACAGGTATTCATATAGTCCCTGCCATGTGCTACTGTGTGCTTCCTGGGACCCACCAATGTAAGACCCAGCACTGTATCAGCTCCTTGACCATGGGTCAGAACTAAGAACCAAAGCAAGCCTTTCTTTATACGTTATCCACTTTGTGATATGTTGTGGACTATTAGTTTAAGATGTGTTACATTCATTTATGCTGTGGAATATTTGTTTAATGATTGCAAAGATGTGTTGTATTCTTTTATGTTATATTTGTTTAATTATGTAAAGCTGTGTTACTTTGCCTGCCTAAAACACCTGATTGTTCTAATAAAGAGCTGAACGGTCAATAGCAAGGCAGGAGAAAGGATAGGTGGGGCTGGTGGGCAGAGAGAATAAATAGGAGGAGAAATCTAAGAAAGAGGAAGGAGGAGCAAGAAAAGGAGAAGGAGAGGTGGACGCCAGGGGCCAGCCACACAGCCAGCCATGTAGTAAGAAGAAAAGAAAAGATATATAGAATAAAGAAAGGTAAAAAGCCCAGAGGCAAAACATGGTTAAAGAGAAACAGGATACTTTAAGTTAAAAAAACTAACTAGAAACAAGTCAAGTTAAGGCCGGGCATTTCTAAGAAAGAATAAGTCTCTGTGCATTTATTTGAAAGCTGGGTGGCGGGCCCTCAAAAAAAAAACCTACAGTGTTAATGTGTTTTATCAGTAGAAATGAATGAAACTGCCCTTTCCTGTCTCCGTGAGGGACACCCTTCATGGTGTGCTTGCTTAGATTTGTTCCTTTGTCTGCCCAGCTCAGTCCCTGAAATTCCGCATCATCCCTGTGATTCTGCCATAGCTGTGCTCTGCAATCTCACCAGTGGCCTCCTGGCTGAACGTGAGATGCCTTTCTTCCTTGGCTTCAGTGTCTTCATGAGCAATAACATCCCCAGAGCCTGCTCCCTCGGGTCACTCTTCTGCCGACTCTCCTGGTAGCTTTCCTATGTGTTTATTTGTTTGTGACAGGCTCTAGCCCAGGCTGGCCTGGAATTACGGATCATCCTGCCTCTGCCTCCCAAGTGCTGGGATGGCATGTGTGTGCCACCATGTCCACCTATGTGTTTCATGGCTCTTCTAATATCCGTGGCTGGCTCCTTCCCCTTTATAAGCCCCTTGAGTATTTCTGGAGTCAACTCTTTAGCAGGTACAAGCAGCCCTAAAACTGATATACAATCGTTCCTGAGCTCTTGATCTAATCTCTCAAGCTGAACCAGTGTGCACATTTATGTTATCACGCCATGTTTTTCTGTCTTAGATAATGATGGAAGCATTGTTTTCCTAGATAAGATCATAGCTATTAAATATAAACTATGTGCTTTCCCGTGGTCATCTGCCCTCTGAAAATATCAAATAGAAAATCCCAGAACTAGTAAGTTTTAAATGGCACTCCATCTTGAATACTGTGATGAAATCCGGTGCTGTCCCACACCAACACACCTTGAACATGACTCCTTCTTTGCCTGGCAACTGTATACTGTGTATGTTACGCAGTCTGGGTTATGGGAGTGACTGTACGGACATTGTGGTGCTAATTTTCAAGTGGCACATAGTAACTAGACACTGTCGCATGCCTGTGTCATTGGACCACTTGTCACACAGCCAACATGTCTTCTCACACCATTACTCAAAGATGTGTGTAAGGAGCTATTTTGAAAAGACAGTCCATGCTCATATAGCTCTTACTATAAGGTGACTGTGGTTGTATTTTATTATTACCCACTGTTGTTTGTCTCTTACTGTTCTTTATGAACTAAAAAACTTAGCCATGGATGTATGTAAATAGGAACAAAAATAGGTTTTGGTGTTATCTGTGGTTTCCAAGGTCTACTCCTTGTAGGTGGTAGTGCTCTGCATTTTTCTCCTTGCTATTTAAAAATGTCCCCAGATTTACGAATCCTACTACCCCAGGACAGAAATCCAGAAAACTCATTTTTTACCAGCATCCTTCTCATCCAAGGCCCAGCCAGCTATGGTAACTTTCTGCCCGCAACTTGACCATATGAAGTTTCCATTTTTTGCATCAGGCACTCCATTTCAGGAACTGGGCAGTAGAACTCATCCTAGCTGGTGTGAGTGGCAGCTAATGCAGGCGTCTCTTGATCTGCCCTCACACTGGGACGTGTGTGACATCCATGGCATGGTTCTTCCAGGTGGCTCCCACTTTGTCACAAATTGTCCTAAGGAACACAAGAGAGGGTGAGGTAGAAAGGGGTCTTAAAGGATACCCAGGTTTCTATGGATACCAACAAGCTGTGGATTGAGCTCCCCATATCGTACATGGATTCTACATGGCCAGGTCTATGTGGGAAATCTTGAGGGTGAGCAGGGTCCCACCCCCCAACAACCTTCCCTACTGCACAGATGCTGCGCCCTCTGTTTATCCCAATCGTAACTCTCACTTACCGCTTTTAAAACATGCCATGGTAAAATGTAGCACAAAATGCACTGTTATTTCTTAGCCATTTATAAGCGTGCAGTTCAGCAATATCCCCATGCGTTCATGCTGATATCTCCAGGACTCTTTGGTCTCATAAAACTGAATGCTGTGCCACTTAAAGCAGCTCCCGGCTCCCAGGCCCTGGCAGCCTTGATTCTGCTTTCTCTTTCTAAATTTGACAACTCTGGGTGCCTCACACAAATGGACTCACCCAGCATCTGTTGTTTTGTAAGTGGCTTACATTGTTCATCATAATAGACTCAGAGTTCATCCATGCTGGGGAATGCACTAGATTTCCCACTTTGTAAAGATCAAGTCATATTCCATTGCATTTCTTCAACCACTATCTACTGAGAGACTTTTAGATTGTTTCCACCTTTTTGGCTGTTGTGAATAATGGACTGTGAATGTGGCTGTTCCTATTTAGCCTATATAATTCTAATAATAATCACTACCCTGTGTAGTATTGACCATGTGGCAGGCATCAATGAAATATATCCATTAACTCTTTCAAACTTCATACCATCCCTGTGAGTTAGGAACCATTACCATCCATATTTCACCAATGTGGAGATGGAGAGATGCAAAACACTTACATGTGTCAGGAAACCTGCTCCTGGGGTAGAAACAGGGTTCAGAACCCCTGTCTGGCTCTCAAGCCTCCATGCTGTCCTGTGTGCTTCTGGGTGGGCTGACTGTGGCATGGTTTGACACACTGTTCCTGATGGCAGGAATAGATAATGTTCCTATGCTCACACCTCCCTGAACCAGCATTAGCTCACGAAGACTCTTCCTGACCACACAAACATCCTAGAACCTGCTTTAGCCCCAATTCTTCATTAAATATTTATATGCCTTTGCTTCTTGTACATATCAATCCCCCCCCCAAAAAAAAACCCACAAGCTCCAATATGGCACAGACCTTATACTCATACACCCCCACAGCCAGGTCCTCATGGAGCAAATACCAAGTGCTCAGTTGATATTTTTTGGCACAATAAAACAAAAAAAAAATAAATAAAGCAAATGTTAATAAAAGGAATGGAATCTTTCCAGGGAGGCAAGGATTTAACTGAACTCCAGGGTTAAGCAGGAGTCTTACTTTGAGCTTGCACGCTCTTACTTCTAATGCCCACAAGACAGTCTGGCAGCTTGTAGCTGAGCTGCTGATTGTGCAAGCGACAGTGGTGTTGTTTCCAGCTCTGCAACTGGAAAGGCAAGGACAACGCTGCATGTTTAGCTTGGTGAAAGTTAAGCATTTAGTTCAAGGAGATGTGAAGTTTGTCTGTCATTTCAGCGGGAGTTAAAACCATGCACGTCCCACCTTGACTTCCAACTAAAGTTCCAGAAAGCACCTGGACAGGAAGTGCCCCTTCCCCTGCACTGGACCTGGGAACTGCAGTATAGGAACACTTCTGGGTGGTGAGGAGAGCCAGGTCTACAGAGTGATTGCTATCTCATCTTTACTGATATTTCTCTCCTTGTAGAAGAGAAACTGCTATAGAAATTTTTTTTAATTTAATTAATTTATTTTTATTTCACGTACATTGGTGTTTTGCCATGGGTATTGGGTCTCAAGAACTGGAGTTACAGACAGTTGTGAGCTGCCATGTGGGTGCTGGGAATTGAACCAGGGTCCTTTAGAAGAGCAATCAGTGCTCTTAACCACTAAGCCATCTTTCCAGCCCCCAACTATAGAAAGAATTTAAGTAGAAGACATATGACTGAAAATATTCTAGAATAGGAAAACCGTATATAAAATGAGGAGACAGTGTGCATGAAAATACCAGCATCTTGAAACACTGCTGCCCATGCAGGGTGGATTGTTGCCTTTCCTTCCTGTGGAAACACATTTTCCAACATGTGAAACACAGAAAAGCTTGACTTGGCTGTCATTCCAGAGGGTACAACCTCTATCTACATGACATTGCTATCTACAAATGTGTTGGGCTGTGTTCATAGCTGTCCTAGGATACATGTGGTCCAAGAGCCATAGGACAGGTCTGAAGACAATTAGCATCATCAATATGCATTCTAAAGAATGAAACAACAGAAATGCAGCATGCTGTGTTTTCTGCCTTCCAGACCTGCCTCAGACATCACATGATACTACACTGCAGTGTATTGACCTAAGGTTCCCATGAGGATCTGACTGAGCTCACAGCTGGGATTTCATGCTGTGGCTCCAGGCTGGGGATCTAGCTTGGAGGTGTTTGAAACCTGCCTCCATCATGTACTTCTTAGGACATTCTCTTTCTCTAGTCAGGCTGAGTCAGGATCGCATCTCTCCTGCTGCTCATTTGAAGCCTCAGGAGATGGCGTGACCAGTGCATGCACACAGGTCCATTCTGGCCCCACCATACCCCTCCTGCAGATCTGTCTGGGACTAACCTTGCCCTGATCTGAGGACCACTGAGGTGTGGCCTACAGTGCCCAGTCACACTGCTGACTTTACACACAGGTCTGGCCATGGGGGATTTTGATTTCTTAAAGTGACATGTGAAAATTATTTATATTTCTTGGAAATCATGTGCTATTTTGATATCTGTGCACATTCTATAGTTCCCAAATAAGGGTGAGCCTATCTATCTCCTCAAATATTTATTATTTCTTT